CACGAAACCCAGTGAAACCCAAACATATCGGTCTCAAAGACAAATTGAACTATTTCTTGCCCAAATTTGAAGAAATTGAAAATCGTTTGAGGTTAAGGTTAGAGTTTTGATCGGATCGAAATCGTTTCCGAAGAGGAAATTAAAAGCAGAGAGAAAAGGGAAAGGGGTGCGGCACCGGCACGGGGAAGGGGGAGAGGCGGCGCTGGCGGCGGGGAGAAAGGCCGAGTCTAGGCGGCAGCGAGGGTGAAGGCAGGCTGGGTTGGGGTCAGGGAGGGTGGATGGGTTGGTGGTGGGTTTTTTTGTTTAATAATTTAATTAATTAATTAAACCTATCATAGGTTGCCACGTGGCACAATTAACCTTAATGACTAACGGATTTAATGACGTTAGTCATTAAGGGCATGTGGTGACATTTTCATGAAATTGATGGTAATATGGTGAATTTGAAAATTTTTGGTGGTATATGGTGAATATATAAAGTTAGAATTCAGGAGTATATGGTGAAAAAATCGTTTATTTAATTTGAAAAGATTACAACACTCATATATTACAACACTCTAATCTTAAAGCTTAAACAAACATGACAAGAACTAGAGTTTTTTTCTAATTTAAAAGAGATGGAAAATCAATCTTTTTCTTACGGTGAGGATTTTCTTTAGAGGGCTCTCTAAGAATTTAGAAAGACTCTATGAAACTATCTTCAAGTCTGCCTTACACACCTTGCCTACAAACCTTTATGTAAAGGAACTAAAAAGTTACATAATCCGTAGGATTCCAATCTACAAAGTGGATAATTGATTGTTGTTGTGGGTCGGGGCGGACCCACGAAGGAATGATGCTACCCCTAAAAAAACGAAATTGTTGATCAAAGAGACCGGTTGTTATAGACAACAGGAATCTTATATGCTTCCATATGAAATTAATGCCAAACTGCCATTGCCTATTGTTTTAAACTAAAAGAACCGATTAATGTTATATGGAGTATTTAACAAAGGGTGTCTTAGGTTCTCTCTTTTGCTTCTACTTATATGCGTACACGATTAATTTTGTATTCATCCAATTTTTATTTATTTTTTAAATTACTTTTTCTTAGGCTCTCATTTAAGTTATAAAAAAATAATAAAGTAGTAGAACCTATGATTTTTGTGAATTATAAAATAAATATATACTCAAATTTTACATATTTTTTAATCACCGTACATGATACCAAACATAAAGAAAAAAAAAATAATGAAATGAGTGTGTTGTTATTCTTAAAGACTCCTTTATTTTTGAAATTCTTCCCATTTTATTGCACTTTTCAATACACGTATTTGGTAAGTTATATATTTACTATTTAGTTTTATTTAAGTAAAGCAATTAAGATAAGTTTTTTCAATGAGAGTTTTTCACTCTGCCTCAATCTTTTCTAGTTGATGGCATGAGGTATTTTGATGCCTTGAGTTTCTTTGACATTGGCTAATTCTCTAGCTAAGTTGTCTGCTAAGGATCTCTTCGATCCTTGTATATGTTCAACAGTATAAGAGAATTTGTTAAGACATAATTGCCAACATAAGAGTCTCCTATGCGCTTGCATATTAGACAATTTTTTTAAAAAAAACCAAGTATGCCTTTGCAATATGTTCTTATCAAGAACTTTTTGGGGAATAAGAAGATTAAGAACTTCTTGATCCCTCTAATGATTGCAACAATATACTTTTGCATTGTAGGAGAATTTAACTTAGTTTTATTAAAACTTCCACTGTTGTATCTACAAAGTCTTTCACCTTCTTTGATTTTTAATGCAACACTCCAGTGCTTATTGCTAGCATTTGTTTCAAGAATTAAATCATCCTCACTAATAGGAAGTGTTAGTACAGGAAGATTTTTACACATAGATATTTTGGACAAATTTGGAATCATTTTTCTTTCAGTTCCAAGTTATGTCTTTCTTGAGTTTTTGTTGTAATTGTTTTCTTAACAATAAAGCAAGATTTTTTTTATGAAATTAGAAGCATAGGTTAAACATCTTAGAAAACTTTCATAGTTGTTTTCTATTTTCGATGTTATCTGGGAATTTTTCAATCTTTTCAAGAACATGTTTTTTTGCAAAATAATTTTTCCTGCCTCAATTTCTAATCCTAGAACTTCAATTTCTTGTTTAGCATGGACACATTTATCTTCTCCTTGAATTATTCCATGTTTAGCACATTTTTTAGTTACAACTTTAAGATCACTCTTATGTTGCATTAAATCTTTTGAGAAGATTAAAATATCATCTATATAAACCAAACAACACAGATTAAGCTCTCTGAAAATTTTATCCATCCTTATTGAAATATTTAATTTGTAGAGCATTTTTTTAATCCAAAAGGCACTACTAACCATTCACAATGTCCCTGGGGGCACTGAATGCATGCAATTAATGGAATGGTTTCCCCTTCCATTTCAATTTTCCAGTAACCACTCTTATAATTCATTTTAGAAATTAAAAAATCAAGTGGCTCCTTGTATTCTATTAAACAACACAGTTTTATTAGGAATATATATAATAACCATCAAACACAATATTATCATTTAATTAGTTGCTTATAATTTATTACCATTCTAGCTTTATCTCTTTTTTCTTCCGTATGATTTCTTACCATGAATGCTAGACTATTATGAGCATTTTTGCTATTCTATTTAACTTCTTTTTCAGCAATTCTTTTGTTTGTTCAATATATTCCAAATATCTTGATAGGTATAAACCATTTGTCTTCTCAAATAATCTTATTAGGATTTGTTAAAGTTATTTTAGCAGCATTATCCTTATCCCTATGTCATAATGGATTTGTTGAATATAACTCTACACATAATTATTCTTGCTGCTTAGTTTTCTTATCCATCAATAATGAGTTCTACCTCTTGTTGTGGTGTAGGAGTAGCCCTATCACTATACTGGTTGCACGTAAGTTCCATAGTTTGATGAGTATAAGCTTTTGTTATTTTATGAATAGGAACCGAATGACCATTAATGGTGAAGATAATTTGATCAACATTATGAGTGCATGGAGTGTATAATCTTTGAAAATTATTTCCTATTACCGTATCATGACATGGATGATTAATTGCCAATAAAATAGAAATAATGCATTGAACTCCTCCAATTTCAATTGGTAATTCTTCTATTATTTCCATATGCAACATGACATTATGAATTAGTAATTCTAACTTGCAATTGGATTTTTAGCTTATTTCCACAAGAATTCTAGAAATTAAATTCCAAAACAGGTAGAATATTTATTGTAACCTTTGATGCATATATCATTGGTATGTAAATACTTGGATTAGTGCTACTTATTTCATTAAAAAAATGGGTTAAACCAATGCCAACTAAATAGATCCTATGAGATCACACGTTACCGTGTTAGGTCAAACAAGAAAACCGGGTCCAAAAGTTGGGCTTAGTGAATGACCAGCCATATGGAATAAATGGGGAATGAGTCTGGCCCTAATTAGATGATAAGATTACATAACTAAGGGCTTAGGGAAAAATAAAACGACGCTCATCATCTTTCTTCCTCTCTCTCTCAACAACCGGTTAGAAGTTCTCCATAGAAGAGGAGATTAATCCCTCCCGTCCAACTAGCATTGGTGGAGGTTCGATCTACATTTGTGGAATAGTGTCACGGTCCGAGTGTTTTGACACCGGGTCATGCGGCGCGTTTTTGTCTTTTGGCGACAAGGACGCAAGCCTAGAGTGAAAAGGGTACACGAGCACACATCAACACGGACCAAGAGTATCTCAAGGAAGCACACATCGATAATGAGTGCAGAGTCGGGGCTTGTGACGACCGATATTTTGAAGGGCACAAGCGAGACCGACGACAACGAGGGTGTCTTTTGAGGTTCTCTTGGTTTGGAGGGGATGCTTTAAAACAAGGCAAGCACAGTATCTATAAAAGCATAAATCAACACACAAGTCTTAAAGCAATATGCAACTGGGTAGGGAGCTTTGATTCATTCAACCATTCGCTCCCTAAAGAGCTTTAAATAGAATTTACAATGGAAATCTAGTAAACACTAGATTGACAATAACATAATAATTCTACTTAAAGCCTAAAAAAACTTAAAGAAAAGCCTAGAAAGATAAACAAAAGCAAAATACAAGTAAAAAGAAAGAAGAATACATAAGAAAGGAGGTGGATTCTGACAAATAGTCATAGAGGAGCAACAATTGGGGCTCTAATCTTCGCAAAAAGGTAGAAGAAAGCTTGGGAATTCATGCATCAAAATTTAATTCTAAACTATTATGTGATCTTCTATTTGTATATGCATGAGATGCTGTTTAGGTGTGTATCAAATGTGTATCAATGAGATTCATGAAATTCCGCGTAGAGTACCTAAAACCCTAGGTATGGTGCTGATAACGTGTTGTAAAATAGAGAGAGAATAGATATGAGAGGTTGGGTGAGAAGAGGTGTATCCTTTCATATAATAGGAGATTTATATAAATATACATATACAATAGCAAGTTATTTATACGGAGAACCCTAAACCATACACCTAGAATATTCTAGAGAGTACAGGGGTATAATAGTCATCCACAAATATTTCATAATAAATATACTTTTTAAATCTAAAGGCCAGACTGATTGTGCTATGATTAAACCGAAATTGGACCATTAAAAGCAATACATAGCCCGGACTGAATAGATTTGGATCAATTTTATAAGTACATAAAAAAAAAATAATAAAAAATATGGTTAATGTCTTTCTGAAATCTTAATATATAATACGAAATACCTCATAATTTTAATCTTTTAGGATTTCTCCGAACATATTAAAGGTAAAATTGAATTTTATAAATCGATTTTGGACCGAATCGATTAAACCATGGGTATAATGCTAGAAGCCAAAATTGAAACAAGCAAATTATGATGAAAACATATAATTATGGGAACCATAAATTTAGTTTTCTCCTCTTTCTCTAGTTGGATCGGCCCACTTCTGACAAAATAAGAAGATAGGAGAACTAGTATAATATTTTTTACCTTCAAAATTTTTAGAAAGTGGGGGCATTAAAATTAAAACATAAATAAGAAAAAGGAAAAATAAAATTAAAAACGCGGCTGCTTTACACCAAAAAAACCGTAGTTCATCTCTGCTAATCAAATTCCAGCTCCTACAGATCGTCAATTTTACGATCCACAACTAAAAAGGGGTTTTTAATACTCCTCAAATTTCGATCAATTACAATTAAATTACCCTCAAAAAACCCAGAAAAATTTATTCTTTTTCTTCCCAATTTAATTCATTTATTTTATTTTATTGTTTTTTTTTTCCTTTCAATTAGGTGGTTTTTTCTGGATTTCAGCTATTGATCTTGATCTAATAAGGTGAAATAACTAATGGGGTTTTCTAGATTTCGATATTCTTCAATGGGTCGAATAGAATTTGTGATTTTATTTTCTGGGAAATTGTGAAATAGCTTGGTGAGTAATTTTTGTCAATCGAAACGTTTCGCGTTTCTGAGATGATTTCTTTGGGGAGGAAGGGATTAGAGCAGAGATTTAGCAGTAATAATAATAAGAGAGAGATGGAGGTTGAGACTGAGCTTGAAGAAGGAGAAGCTTGCTCTTACCAAGACGATGATGATGATACAAGCATTGACCCTGATGTTGCCCTTTCTTACTTAGTAAGCTTCTTAGTTTAATTGTTATTGGGTTTTGTTTTGATTTTATGGATTAATTTTGTGCAAATTTTGTTATTCAATTATATGGTGCTCTTCTACTTTAAGCTGTTTTTAGATCAGGAGTCTTTAGTAAGCATTGAAATTTTGCTTAACAGAATCTATTTGTTTTATAATTGTATAATTCTTTGTTATTGTATTAGTTAGCTACAATTGATACTTAGGTATTCGAGGTTGAGGTAGGAGCATTTTTGATGGGGTTTTGTTAGTGGGTGAATGGTGTTGAATTTGGTATGTCATGTGGGTAATGAAGTCACAGTTGTTATGAGAATGGAGATGCTAGTTTCGATCAAATGTTAGTGAATGTGAGCGTTTCTTCGTGAATGTAAAATTTGAAACCAACTTTGTGTATTGAGAATAATTGGTTTCGAACTAAGTTTGAGATGATATATGATATAAAGTGTGGGATTTTACCTCAGTGCTTGAATGTTGAGGATATTTCTTGTTTGATAATTGGGATACTTTCCTAAGTTGATGAAATACTAAAACTTGGAACTTCTCAAAGACTATAGCTGATTAATAATAGGTGTGGACCACAGAAGAAACATTGATCTTCTTTGATTGTCTGATGCTTTATAATGAAGTGCCAGTAGCACATATATGTCTTGGAGGTTGGAAGGAACTATACAACAGTTGTTCTAGGCTATCCGACTACATTTGAGATTTTATGGACTATGGTGGTTGATTAAAATGATCCAAACTTGCTAAAACTTTGTGAAATGCCATCGAATGATAGACCTTGAATAAATGCTTGGCCTTTTTCATGCTGGGGGAGGTGGGGAAGAGAGGGGGGGGGGGAGGGGGAGAGTTTGAGGTTCCCTCAACTTGTTGATGATTTTCATGCTAAGTTTCGTAACGGAAGTTACTACTTACTCTAAACTCCAAAAAATCTAGATCTGCTTGTCTGCACATTTTATGACCAGCTACTCTTGAGCAGCAAAAGGAAGTGCTAGCTCTATCTATTAACTGTATGGAGTCATTTATTTGTTATTTACTACCTTTCAATATCTGACAGCTTATCAAAGTGTCCATTGATGATACTTTCAAATTAATATAATTAAAATATCTTGTATAGTGTGCTCTTGCTTTGTCAAACATAGTCTTTTATCTTGGAGGAACTACTAAAATATCTTGTATAGTGTGCTCTTGCTTTGTCAAACATAGTCTTTTATCTTGTCAAACATATGAGAATGCACCCCCATTTGGAAGGATAGCATATAAGGCTATATCTTGAATGAATAGCAGACTGTCTTAGAAAAGGACTATGAGGAGAGATAACGAGAATTATTTGGTATATCAAGATTTTACCCTTATATGCTAATACCATACATACCAATCAATGTAATTGTCTAATTAAATGGCAGGGAAGTGCTCGTTATTTCTTAATTTTCCTGATATCTTAATTGAGGAGGAATTTACTTATTAACTAACCAGCGTCCAACATATAAGATTCTTATTACAAGTCATAGAAGAATGTACTATTTTGCTTTTCTAAGTATTTAATTACTATTGACTAAGTAAACTATAGGTGATCATAGATAACTTGTTTGTTGATGCTCAATACATACTGGTTATCTAGGTCTATTGATTGCTTTAGAAGTCAATCACGTTGAACCTCAAAACAAGTTGTGATTAAAGAAGATGGTCCAGGAACTACAAACTTACTGAAAGCATACTGTCTATTAAGCTAGTATATTGCAGAACAATATGGCATAGTTGATCATGATTGACAAGATTAGTATTCCTAGCATTATCTCGTTGCTGGATAAAGAGTGTGAGAGTTTGTAGTTTTATGATCACCACATGTGGTTCTGATAGAGTAGAACAGATGAATAAACTTGCTTTTAATTCTTACAGATGAATAGAGTTTGTTGCATTATCAGGAATTAATTTTTTTTCTTACTGCAGAGACTTATCTTTGTTAATTCTTAGTTAAACTTTTAGTGACATCGGTCAGTTTCATTATCAGGTGGTTAAAAGTAAGTATTTGAGAAAAGTTAATAGTAGTACTATGTTTTTCACCTTTCATGATGGTATGGCATATAATGATGGACCAAGGTTATCCCTATTTTGAATTTATTCCCTCATCTCAGCCACATGTTAAAGTCAATTGCATAAGTGATGGTGAATTTTTCTTTATTTAAGTACATGGTAAATTTTTGTTATGGCCCGTGATACCAATTCATGACAAATATAAGCTTGTGACTTGGGATAGAATGATTGATGGCTAGCAACTATTTCAGATATCTATTTCAAAATCCAAAAACTCCTTCCTAATTGATTTTCCACCTCCTGAGTTCGGTGGCAGAATTGCGAGTCACAAGTTTAATAGGGGACAAATGATCTAGGATGAATTGGTACCCATTGTTTCTTTTCCTCCGTACTCCCTTTTTTCATTTTTTTTTTTCACGATTAGATATGCTTTTTCAAAATAGAAATCTGATAATGCCACACGCTCACACAGAGATGAAGATAAATCTTTAGGGATCTGAATTTTTTTTCCTAACTTTGTCAATAACTATATCAGTAATGAATTATGGATGCAGGATGTTTTCAAGGTGAAATATTTTGGCAGTGTTATGTCTCGTTTATAGAGTAATGAGTGTTGGCTTCTTTTTTCTGATACAAGTCATTTGTGTACCCATTCTTGTTATCGACTTCGACTCGGTTTGTCACTTTGTTTTGGTGCTGTACACTATATTATTGGTGACAATATTTTAATTGTGTTTTCAAGGATGATAAACTTCAAGATGTACTGGGTCACTTTAAGAAAGATTTTGAAGGGGTGGTTTCAGCCGAGAGTTTGGGTGAGTCAATTATTACTAACCATCTACTCTTTTCTATGATTTGAAAGATTTGACACATTCATTATCCTTGCCTCATGATATTTCAGGAGCAAAATATGGTATATATGGTTCGTTCTTGCCAACTTATCGCCGATCACCTGTTGGATCTCAATCTAAAAGTCCACCAAGAGTTCAAAATAATATTACTCCCCAGTCTCCAAATACATTACAAATGGAGGTACTCTTACTATATTGTTTTATGACGTATCTCTTGTTAAATTTATTGGTGAAAACATTATTCATATGCATAGAAGGCTTTGTCTTTACTTTTGATTTGTTTATAAGTTTTAAAAATGACCATTTTGGATATTTCTTATTTGTCGGACTTGTCTTTAGGTTGGTCATCATAAATCTCTTGCTCCGGCCAATGTCTCGTATTCAATAAAACAAGGATCTGCTTCTACTGGTTCTGCTTCATCTTTTCCTTACAAGCCATTACCCCAAAATGACCTGAGTAGAAAAAATGGGAGGAAAAAATCCATTAAGTCATTGGATTTGTGTGCAACTAAATCTGAAGTTCGTGATCAGAAAACGCTGAAAGTTCGAATTAAAGTGGGTTCAGATAATTTGTCAGTGAAGAAAAATGCTGCAATCTATAGTGGTCTTGGACTTGATGGTTCTCCAACTTCATCACTTGATGATAGCCCCATGGATAATGAAGGGCTGTCTTGTAGACTTTCATTTGATGGTTTCGAGTCTCCAACTCAAATTATTCAAGTGAGTTCATGGTTTTGTTTACTTTTTCTTGTGAAAATTACTTTTTCTCTCTTATTCTTATTGATCTCTATTATATTTCTGGGCAGATGATGACATCCTCCCTGCTATTAGGAGGTTGCTTTTTGTCTCCTCTTCCAGATGACCTGATGTGTTTGAGTGAAAGGCCAAAACACACGCAAGACATTCTTACTGAAACTTCCTCCAAGGCCGAACTAAAAAATTCTGTCACAGGGCACCCAACTTTTCCAATCAAAGATAAGACAAGTTCTGTTGAGAACAACATGAAGTTGTTGGATAAAAAAGGGTTATCTTTGCAAGATAAGGGAGATGGGAAGGACAACAATATAGGTTTTGGTTCCCAATTGAAGGAGACAGACATTGATGCTGTTTCTTGTGATGAGCTTGTTTCTAAAGCTTTGAAACTTCCCCTTCTATCTAATGCTCACAGTGATGTGAGATGCTCTCCAACAGCTTCTTTGAAGCAAACAGTTTTCAGTGATACATCAGAGAGGGAGCCTTTAGAACCAGTTTTTGTCCATGTCAGCTTAAGTGAGAAATCAACTGGGAAGGTATCCTATGCTGCAAATAACTCAAATAGCAAAGCTGCTGAAGTCCGAAACAATATGGTGACCGATTCAGAAAAAGTTGGTGATGACAAATTTAAAACAGTTGATGGTACTACTAATTTCAGTACTGGTGCTTCCAATTTAAAAAAGGCTTCAAAGAATGGACTGAAAGATCCTGTAAATCAAGGGACCAACAAATTTACTTCCCGTGATGATGCTATGGCTGTATCTTGTGGGAATGGACAGTTCTCGTTTGGTGATGAAAAAAGACCAAAGAAAAGTCAAGCTCGTGGATTTGCTACTGGAAAAATAGCCATGGAAATTAATGAAGATAGTGCTCCGTTGCTGAAAGACATGAAGTATACTGATGCTGAGAAAACTGCTTGTAGAATTGAAGTGCAAAAGGATTCCAAGATAGGCATGGGTCAATATGTTGACTTCTTTGGAGAGATGAATGAGGAAGAAGGTGATGTAATGGACTCCCCAGATGTCCCTTCTGGAGAGATGTTGAAGACCTCTGAGGTGGTTGACAAGACCAGCTTTGTTTATGAGAACAATTCTAAGGAGAGGACAAGTTCCTTGGATACACGCAAGGGAACAACTTTCGGGGAGAAACTTAAAGGGCACTCTACCGATGCTCCTGTGCCAGAAAATGGCCGCCCTATATTTGAAACAGCTCCTACTAGCAATGAAGCAAATGTTGATTGGGTTGGCTGTGACAAATGCCAGAAATGGCGAGTTTTCCCACCTGGCTGTAAACCTGACAACCTTCCTGATAAGTGGGACTGCAGTATGATGACCTGGCTGTAAGCTCATTTTAGATTAAATCTATGTTTCCTTGCTTTTCATCCAATTCACACTGCTTTTAAACATTTTTTTGGCTTGAGATGGCTGATGGGCTATCATGCAGGAAAGAATTTCTGGTGTTAATTTTTCTCACATTTCAAAAATTTTGTTGAGTTCTTATACAATTTTGATTTTATCTCTAGGCCTGATATGAACCGTTGCAGCGCTAGTGAGGAGGAAACCAACAATTTCCATGTCCCTCCTCCTGGAATGACTTCAGCTGATATTATGAACTCTGGGAGAATAACCAGTAAAGTAAGAAAACCGTCAAAGTCATCTTTCCAAAATTCTCCAAAAAAGCCTCCAAGCTCTATAAAGAAGCAATTTTCAGCAAAAGAGCCATACCACATGAACGGACTAGATCTTGAGCAACAAGCTAAGTCTGGTGATACATATCCAGATTCTGGTCAACATAAGAAAATAGAGAAGCACAGAATGGATTGTTACTCTGATGGAGGTATTAAATGTCAAGTATCCTTGTCTAATTGTTCTGATCTTAGCACTCTTATTTCTTATAGAGAATTGATTTTCTTGGTGTTCCCACAGGTCATGCTAAGAACCCAAAAATAAAAAGCAAAAGGGAATCTGATCAAGATTTTTCTAGAACTTCTAAGAAAAGTAAAACACGTAGCATGCAAAGTGGGGATAATGGGGTAGCTGCCCATGATCAAGGTTTTGAGACTTTGGGTGTTAGCTCAGGCTATGGGCTGGGAGCTGGTACATCTGGAAAGGATCAGGTATCTGACTTAGAATTCTTTGCTTCTCAGAACTCTAAGGATGACATCAATAGCATCCGTCCAGATTATTTTGGCAAATCAAAATTTCAAGTTGAGGACCTTCCAGTTGTTGGTTCCATGCATGTCAGCAAGTCTGGTAGTGGAAATAAGAAGAGAAAAGGTGATAATTTCAAGGATCCTCCAAACTCTACTCCATCTTCTGGCAAATTGAGGGATGATAATGAAAAATCTAGCAGGAAGAGGCATAGGATATCCAAGTCAGAAGGAAAAGATTCCAGTGCAAGTAAAAGAAATGGTAAAGCAGACAAGAAGACTAAAAATGTTTCACAACACAGATTGGTTAGTAATGAGTCTGTGCAAAAGGATTCAGTAGGTGCAAATCCTGTTATGGCAGCTACATCAAGCTCTTCAAAAATTTCTGGATCTCTTAAAGTCAAATCTAAGTTCCAGGAAATAAAAGGTTCACCTGTTGAATCAGTTTCTTCTTCTCCCTTGAGAATTCCAAATCAAGATAACATCATATCTGGGTGCAAAGTAACAGTAGGGAATGATGACGTCCAAGAGGCCACCAAAGTGGCAACAGACAGTCCTACAAGGTGCTCTGCTGTTGATTATGATGGCAACGATGATCAATCTGGAGCTATACTGAACGATAAAATTGCAACAGGCACACTTCATGGCTCTTCAAATTTGATTGGCGTGCAAGACAAAAGTATAGGAGATTTACAGCTGACTAATGGTAACAGCCGCGTTGAAAATTTGAACTTAGATAATGGGTTCCCCTCAGAGACACAAGTTTCACATAGATGTGTGAATGAAACAGCAGCTAGAGGTGAACTCCGTCTTGATGCCAATATTTCAAACTCAGGAAAATCTTGTAAGGATTCTCCTTCACTCTCCAATGATAAGAATCAAACTTTGAAATCTAATTCTGGGAAGAGCAAAGTTAAGATGTCCGACTCATATGAGAACTCACTGAATCATACAATAGCTCATGAAGAGAGAGAACTGGACAGGAAAGTAAAAGTTGACGAGAAATGTGGGTCAAGTGCTGATAAGAATATGAATTGTACAATATTGAGCAATAAAGAACCCTCTTTTCCAAAGTCTGAAGGAAAGCCAGAATTTGATGAGAGAAGATTTTCAAAGAAGTTTGATGTGGATAAATCTGAGGACTTGGTACCAATATCTGCAAAAGAGAAGTCCAGGCATATGCTGCGTTCTGATGGTGAGAAAAAGGAGGCGTTAGATAATCTGCAACCTAAGCAAGGTATTAAGGCCAGTACTTCAGCCAGTGATGCTCGTCTTGATGCTCTTCCTAGGGAACCCAGACTGAATAAAAAAGCTGATAGTCAGAATGGAACTCATATTTTGTCAAAGCAAACAATATCTAATGGCCACAGGAACAAGAATCAGGATGCTCCAAGTCCTCTTAGAAGGGATTCTTCTAGTCAAGCTGCAAGCAGTGCTATTAAAGAAGCCACAAACCTCAAACACTTGGCTGATCGACTGAAGGTGATAATAGTCTTTGTTCTCTCCTCTGAAAAGAAATCAGAAAATGGAAGAATCGCTAAAGTATCCTTTCTTTCTAAATTGGTGTTATTTGCTGACTGTTGCAGAGCTCGAGTCCAACAGAAAGTATAGCAATGTACTTTGAAGCAGCACTGAAGTTTCTTCATGGAGCCTCCCTTCTAGAATCTGGAAAGGCTGAGAACATTAAACATGCAGATATTGCTCAATCTAAGCAAATCTATAGTAGTACCGCAAAGCTTTGCCAGTAAGTAAACAAGTCGATCACATATTCACTCTTAATATTGTCTGTATCATATGACTGGATGCACAGCACTGAATTGCTAAGACTAATTATTTCCAGCATTCTAATACTGGGTGGCATATAGTTTCAACTAATATGGCAGATATTTTGAGGAATTAGTTGTGCTTCATGCATCCTTTGATATCTCTCTGTGGTTATCTGATGTCTGCAATTTCAGAGAACTTGAACTTGCATGTGCGCGCGCACACACAACACATTATATCAACTTTGCTGTAAATTATTTCCTCTAGTAATATACACTTGTTGATTTATTATAACACACACACACACGTACTGCTTAGAATTATTGACCTGAGTGTCTGCAGTGATTGTTTCCTTATTTTATTTCAACTTTGCTATAACCTCTAGTAATATGTAGTCATATACCTCTTGATTTATTATGTTCGCTAACTAAAGTTTCTCCTCCCCAAATGAAAAAGGTTTTGTGCCCATGAATTTGAGAAGATGAAAGACATGGCTACTGCTGCACTGGCATACAAATGTGTGGAAGTGGCATATATGAGGGTAATTTATAATTCACATATTACTGCAAGCAGAGATAGGCATGAGTTGCAGGCTGCTCTGCAGATGGTTCCTCCAGGTAATGGAATATGTTTGTACTTATGACCTTGTTTTCCTTTTTTCTTTTGTTCTATTCTTTTTATCCGCTTTCGATATTCTGGGACTTTCAATTAGTTATTTATTTTCATCTTCATGACAAAATACATAGCAGAACAATTTTATGTTTTTATGCTTCACTGCCACCAGCGGTGTTTCTGCCAATAGGCCCTATTTTTGACTTGTGTTTGGGGTTAAGGGCAGTAGGGCTGGTGGTCAAAACCCTTACATCAACCTGTATTATATTGTTGCTTCTTTCTAGTAGCTTTTTATCATTGATCATTTTCATAAATACTGACCCCTGTCCAATTTTTGTCCTTGATCAGCTGCTGCTACTGATGTTTAGCAAAGTAGAAGCCACTAATTTTGAATTTGTATGTGTAGGAGAGTCGCCTTCTTCATCTGCCTCTGATATTGACAACTTAAACAACAATGCTAATGGGGACAAGGCTGCTCAGGCCAGAAGTGGTGGTTCACCTCAACTTGCAGCAAACCTCGTCATTGCAGCCAAGAACCGTCCAAACTTTTCTAGGCTTCTTAGTTTTGTAAGTTCCCCTGGTTCTTGTCTGAAATAATGGTGTATCTACTTATGCTACTGAAACCAGATGTTACTTGCCTTGAAACTGAAATAATTATTCTGTTTATATCAGCCTGAATAACTAATATTTGGAAAAATAATTCTAAATATTCCAATTTTAATCATTTATCTTTTGTGAATCCCAACTTTGAATGAATTCAGATTATCCTAACCTAAGAGGGGGTGGAGGGGGGGGGGGGGGGTGGGGGTGGGGGGTTGGGTTTCCTAAATGATTTCACTCTAAAGGATTATGAACTATTGCATAGTTCCAAACCAATGGCATTTAGGCTAATTTTAGTTTGCCTTATTTTTGCTTATCTGAACTTACTTCTTCTGATGTGATGTGATTTGATTTAATTGTCAGATTTGACTAAACTTTGACCTTATATGTACGTTAATTCATAAGGAAAAAAAATTAACGATGTCTTATTAGATTTGTATAAATGCATATTTTCTAAATATGTAATTTTCATAATGATTTTCATTACGGAATTTAATATATTTAGCGACAAAACTTTGCGCATAAAACAATAAAGTGTGATATTAACTTTTAATTTCTGATCTCTAAACAGTCATATTTCATATTTCGTAAAATGTGGGCTGAATTTAGTTTGGAGAGTTGGGGAAAGTATGGGTGGTGGTGGAGATGAGGTGGTGGTTTACATTTTTTGAGTTAATGGGAAATAGGGGGAGAGTGAATGTGTATGAAAGAGGTAGTGGGGAGGGACCAGGCTAAGGGTATGAAGGAAGATAGAAACAAGCAAGGACTTTTTTGGACAATAAACATTGCAAATTAACCTTGGATCATGCTAAAGATTATCCCCTTGAAAGTTGAACTTATATTGCGTCAACTCAAAGTTGGAATTATATTTAACATGCCGCTCAAAGTCAGATATGCTTATTTCTCTTTGTATGTTTCATGAATCTTAAAGCATGTTGGACTGTTGAGTCTTGACATTGCATAGTTATGTTTCAATTTATTATTCTCTTTGAACAAAAGATGACTATATCATTCCAAAATAGCATCAACTGCTACAACCTCACTGGTGAATGGAGAAGCTCCTACAACCAAACCGTTAACCATATTCTTTAGCTGACTCTTGTCTCTTGCTAGCTAGTTATTCAGCAAACGTCCCCTAAGTCAAAGCGAGGATCCAAAACCTTGCATTTACAAACTTTCTTGTAGGTAATAATAAATGGTGATGACTTTGTATAATTTTACTAGGAAGTGTCATGCTAAAAGTCCATAATTATGCAATTATACCTCTAGATGTATTTATCTTCATAATTTCCATCACCACACCACTCATTAGTCATACCAACAATTGTTATCACTTACCAATGGGGACTTTGTATAATTATACTAGGAAGTGGCATACTAAAAGTCCATAATTATGCAATTATACCTCTAGAAGTACATCTTTTTCGTAAATTTTCATCACCACACCACTCATTAGTCATCACCAACAATTGTTATCACTTATCAATGGCTTAGCTGATCCCACTAGCTTGTGAAATTCATTTTTTATCAGCTAAGATTTCCCTTGCCCTCAGACCTTATTTAATTACTGAACACCAAGATTAGAGGTTTAACTGAAATCAAGGTCTATAATGAGCTCAATCAGTAACAAGCTATTCCATAAAATTTTCTTATATACCCTATAGTGCTGTGGCTTAGAGAAGGTACTTTATCTTCTTGTAAATTTCTCTAAAGTTAAGATTGATGTTGTGCCTTGATAAGGTTTATCTTTTGCAGGCTCAGGATGTAAATTCTGCAATGGAAGCTTCAAGAAAATCACGCATTGCTTTTGCAGCTGCTAATGTTAGCATGAGTCGGGCAGATTTAAAAGAGGGAGGAATCACTTCCATTAAGAGAGCTCTGGATTTCAATTTCTATGATGTTGATGGGCTACTGCGTTTGGTTCGGCTTGCTAAGGAAACAATCAGTCGTTAAGCAGTTATTTTTGGCAGTTCATGTTGTCCAGAGGAAGTTATGTCTTTTGTGGAACTGTCTTGAGGAGGTAAAAAGTGAATGGGTTTCATCCTTTGCTTGCATGTGGTGATATGGACCAGAAATCATTTCATGTCTTCAGCTGGTTCCTCACATGGACAAGAGACTCATTGCAAGCTGTTGACAATAGTATCAAGGCTATCAATTATCTTATGTTTCTTGGGAGTAGCAGTCAATGAGAATTCTTTTTGCGGCTAATTATTATTGGAAGGGATGGCAATTATCATTATTGGATTTCCATCCTGTTATGACAAGAGAATTCCTATACCGTTCATGTTATTTTAATTCAAGTATGATTGTGTACATAAAAGAGATTAGAACATGAGAAATGTAGCTCATATGGAGTAACAGTCACTGGAGCTTGCTGGGAACCCTGAAACCGCATCACTCTTGTTTCTAGACAATCCCAGAAGATTGAGGAAAAACTACAATTTGATGTAATTACTTTTTCCAAGGCTTTATCATGATGGCTTTGCAAAGATTGTAATTTGATTGTTTCTGTTTTCTTTATGGCAGTGCTGACATTTTCTAAATGAGAGGATACAAGTGGCATGAAGCACCAAATACATGTATATAAGGTGAATAGATGAAGTCTATAACATTTGTGGTATCACATCTCATTAATGTTTATATGAGTTTTTACTTGAAGGCATGTCTTTATATAATATAGGATTTTCTGAACTAAATCTGGTGTCCCATTGCTTATATTAAGCTATATTACTCATTTTTTTTTTCTCTACTGGCAAACAGGCAGCAAAATCTTCCGTATATTTTTAGGAAGAAACACCGCAGAGTTTGCACAGCACACTCCTAAACTGAAATCACTAACGATGGGATCAGCTCTAACAGGTAAATTTAAATTGCCTACAAGATCTCCAGCCCTTTGATTAATAGATTGTCCTGTAATTCTGATCAATCTAAATTCTCAAACAACTGGAAGCCTTTTTTTAATTTATATGAAGAAATAAGTTCTGAATTTGTAGAGTGTGTATTTTCATTGCTGACTGCATAAGCATTTATTTTAGTTTGAGAGTATTGATCTACCTTATTGATGTCACACATAAACATTATTACATATTGAAATGGAGGTGCTTGGACTTAAAGAGACTCGAACTGAATTGGTGCAACATCATATTGTCCTTGTTTCTAGATGAATTGTCATCTTTAAAACCTATCCTCTCATAAATTTGTTAGTTTTGATTCTTTTAATCTTCCCGCTATGTTTCTTTGCTGAATCTTTTCAGATGAGTAACATTGATTATTGGCATCATTGTTTGTTATATCTTCTGTTTGATTCGAATTTTTTCATCCACAACACTTTTCCTTTCACTTTATGCACTAGATTGATGAGATTTATATTTTTGATTTTCAGGTGTATGCTGCAGGTTTTTGTTAACTTTAAAAACTGTAAATACAAGAAACATGAGTACCCCTTTACCTATTTTAAGGTTTTTCCCCCCTCTAAATTCGTTTATTATTATTTTTTTCCAGAAACAATGTATAAGGTTTTTTTTTTTTTTTTTTTTTTTTTTTTTTTTTTTTTTCACAAAACAATAAGCAACTTATTGTCTTACTACAATCTATGTATTCTGTTCATCTCTTAAATACACCCCAAACAGCATGTATACATTACCATATGATACACTAGTACAATCCTAATCTCAAAGGGCATTGCCCAGTTACGTGAGTCGGGTTGTTTTGTGAAAGGTTCCGACTTGATAAAGCCTTCTTCTTACCTTTAAAAAAGGTGACTATCTTTAATAGCACCCAAAACAATAAACTTTGGTGCTTTTAATGAATATGTTTGAGCAAAGATATCGGTCCCTTAAATGCATAATTTCCACCTGCAATCCCTAGTTTTTTCTATTACAATTTACTTCTTTTATCCCTTTTAGTTTGCTCCATTGCACTTTTATGAGCCAAATTAGAAAAAATTTGACCACAGATTAACACTAATTTATAAAAAAAATTAAAAAATATATATATTGTTAGGTGAGATTGTGTTGAATTTATTTTAATATCTACTCTTATGATATCACATTTTTTATTTTTTGCATCAACTATTTAGAAGAAATTTACATCTAAAGACATATCTTGAAAATTGTGAGAAGTCAAATGGGGTAAACATAAAGGGACAAAGTAATTTTCAAGGATAATCAAAGTCTAAGAGTCGCCAATACAGTAAAACCTAAGAAGCAAAATAGCATTTCAAATTAGCATTGTTTTTAATCTTACTCCCACTGTTTTGATTAATTGAAACACTTTTTTTTTCACTTGTTTTTGATTAGTTACAATGCATTCTTATTTGGTAAGAATTTATTATATCTTATTACCTCCTTCTAATAGATGCAACGTTATGACTTTTAGTAAAGCCAAGATAAGTGTTTCATCAATAAGATAAAAGCTTTTCATCAATAAGATAAAAGCAAGAGGGGGGGGGGGTGGGAAGGAATTATGTTTAGAAGAAAGTCTATCATCTAAAATTAAAATAAATGTTTGTATTTTTTTTTTCAAGAGAACATGTTTGTACAATTTTTTTTTGACATATGTTTGACAAATATTACAGACAAAAAGCGTCCGACAAAGATTTAAAATGAGCTAAGCTAGCTCTTACAAGTACCAAAATACAATAACGTGTCCTGGTTTTTCAACTTTGAAATAACTTAGTTTCTTTAGTAAATCTTAATAAACATTTTTCATTTATCAAATAGTTCTATGATAGGTAAGTGCCTTAATTTTCGTACGTGCTCCAATTTATTAAATTATATATGCATTGCTTCTAGCTATGTTTGACAAAATGCGGTTGTAAGAAATATGCCTTGAATCGGGAGCTAGGAAGATAAACGTCGGAAACTAGGAAAGTAGGGCAAGGCACGTCCATGCCTTGGGAAGGCATGGACATGCCTCGATGAAGAAGTATTGAAGACTGACTAGGCACGTCTGTGCCTAGTAGAGGCACATTCGTGCCTTAGCAAGCTTCATAGGTATTCGGCCAAGCACGTCCATGCCATCAGGAGGCACGTCCGTGCCTAGACGGAGTTCCGATGAGGCCCGTTCGTGCCTAAAGGAGGCACATCGCAGATTTTGAGTTTTGGTGCTTTTTGGACCTGAGGCACATCAATGCCTAAAGGAGACACGTCCGTGCCTCAACAGTTTTGGCCGATTTTGGATACTTTGTTCGTGGTTTTATTTCCTTAAATAAAGTCTATCTTTTCTAGAGTATGGGTTATTATAAATACCCTTAGGTTTTTTCCTAGCCGCTATGATATTCATTATCAATCTGTAATATGGAATTTCCTTAAGATCAATAACGCTTTTCTCTTGCCTGCCCGTGGACGTAGCCAACACACTGTTGGTGAACCACTTAAATCTGTGTGTTATTTATTTATTTATTTTGCATTAGTTAATTTGTTCTTTCTCACATCCGTTACAACAAATTGGTATCAAGAGCTTAGGTTCAATCTAAGTGGGAGAGATGTCTGGGATGAATGTGAAAATTGATAAATTCACTGGAATAGTTTTAGTCTATGGCAAATCAAGATGTGGGCGTTGCTGAAGCAACAAGGGTTATGGGAACCATTGGAAAAAAAGTTATCGAGTTCGGATACTGCTGAGATGGCCATTCTGGAGGAGAAGGCACATTCAACGATCATGTTGTGTCTTACAGACGAGATCATTACCGAGGTCGCGGAGGAGGATACCTCATCGGGTCTGTGGTTGAAATTGGAGAGTTTATACATGACGAAGTCTCTAACCAACAAGTTTCTATTGAAGCAATGTCCGTTCAGTCTGCGAATGAATGAAGGTACACCTCTTTGAGATCACCTAGATCAATTAAATACGATTTTGCTAGATTTGCGTAATATTGATGTTAAGGTTGACGATGAGGATGCTACTTTACTTTTGTTATTTTCTTTGCCTCTGTCGTATGAAAATTTTGTGCAATCTTTCATTGTTGGTAAAGATACTGTGTCCCCAGAATAGGTTAGATCATTTCATCATACTAGGGAATTGCGCCATATGGCATCTGGTAGTACAGGTACAGACAATCTAGCCTCTGGATTAATAGCTAGTGGTGGTAAAAGATATGGAAATTCCGGGAAGAAGAAGGCTAAGAATCCTGGAAATTCCAAAGGGGGTCCTAAGACAACTGATATGTGTAATTATAGTAAGGAAAAGAGGCATTGGAAGAGAGAATGCCCCAAGAAGAATCAACAGGATAAATCTATAACTACTGCTTTAGTAGAAGAGGATTCGATTTCTGAGTATGACATTGCTTTAGTTGCGGGTGAACATACATATCACAATGATGTGTGGGTTCTTGATTCTGGGGCATCATATCACATATGTCCACGTAGGGAGTGGTTTACTACCTATGAGCGGGTAGATGGAGGAAACATTTCGATGGCTAATAGTGCAGTGTGCAAGGCAATTGGGATTAACTCTATCAAGATCCGGACACATGATGGTACGTTTCACATATTGAACGATGTTAGAAATGTTCCACAAATGACTAGAATCTGATTTCACTTAGTGTATTAGACAATAAGAGGTTCAGTTTCAGGGGTAAAGGTGGAATTCTGAATGTCTGCAAGGGTTCTGAATGTCAAGCGTGGTACTTTGTATTTTCTACAAGGCTCCACTCTATCAGGTTTCGTTGTTGTTGTTTCGTCTGAGATTCAGAAGGATGATATGACCAAGCTATGACACATGAGGCTTGGGCATATGAGTGAGAGAGGGATGCAAATTCTCTCTTAGGCTGATCTTCTAGGTGGCCACAAGGTCACGAGCCTTGATTTTTGTGAGCATTGTGTCTTTGGGAAATTACATCGTAGCTGGTTCCTTAAAGGCATTAATAGAACTAAAGGTACTCTTGATTATATCCACTCCAATTGTTAGGGTGCTTTACGTGTTGAGTTATTGGGAGGTCACAGGTACTTTGTATCATTCATTGATGATTTTTCAAGGATGACTTGGGTGATCATAATGAAGTTTAAAAGTGAAGCTTTCAAGAATTTCAAGCATTAGAAGGTGTTAGTGGAGAATCAAATTGGGAAGAAGATCAAAAGGCTACAAACTGATAATGGTCTTGAATTTTGTTGGTCTGAGTTCGATGAGTTTTGCAAGAATGAGGGGATTGCCCGCTAGGCACCGTACCGTCAGAGATACACCACAACAAAATGGTGTAGCAGAACGATGAAAGGAATGGTGTCCTTCCAACAAGTGTATTATTCTGATAGAGGGTTCAGAATTATTACAGAGCTAATTCTTCAGTAAGGTCAAGTGATCGGAATGCCTTGGTGGAGGCCGCTTCCGATCAGTAATATTAAGGCATAATTAATATTACAGCTTAATCTTAACTGAACCCTTCGGGTCTAACCCAATCGAACAACCGATCCAAGACGACGAATTAATCCGAAGGATTCAATATAATGAGTCGTCGGAGTTTTACGAACACAGACGTCGGATATCGAGCCTAGGGCGTCGAGACCGAGCGTCGCAAAATCACAAGCAACAAGTACGAGCATAGCCGTAGCATCACATTGGCCGAGCCATGTGAAGTGCTAGGCTAGGCTAGTTCATCGCAAGCCTAGACGCACCATGTGTGTGCTAGGCGCACAAGGCAGCCCATCGTACAAGCACAGCACTATCGCAGTGCTAGGCACTTGCGTGTGTGTGCGTGTGCATGTGCCTAGGGCTGTCGCACCATCGCAACACACAACACAGCACTATCACATGGCTAGGCCTATGCGTGTGTGCGTGTGCATGTACCTAGGGCTGTCGCACCATCGCAGCACACAGCACAACACTATCGCATGCTAGGCCTATGCGTGTGTGTGTGCATGTGCCTAGGGCTGTCGCACCATCGCAGCACACAGCACAGCACTATCGCATGGCTAGGCCTGTGCGTGTGTGCGTGTGCATGCATGACATTGCAAAGTGTTGGCAGCCTCGCACAGCAGCACCATGCCAAGCATCACCCTGTGCGTATGCGTGTGCGAGTGCGAGTTCCAGGCAGTTAGCAGCGAGGCCCAGCGCCCAGCCTAGCATCATGCGTGGCTCGCTAGCAGCACGCATGTGCTAGACATGCTGGCTGGTGCGCGTTGCGTGCTGGGCAGTGATGCGGTGCAGGCTAGCTATGCTGGCTGGTGCATGCTAGCATGCTAGCTGGCTGCCAGCCCAGCAAGCCTTGCTTGGTGGCGGTTTTGGGAGAGTGGGGACCAACACTTGGGGCAAAATTCTTGGGGAGCAAGGCAATGGTTCCCCCCTTGTTTTTGGTCCTCACCTAACTCTCTCTCTCCCCTTGACAATTGTTGCATAGTGATTGCCTTGATTAATTATTTAATTAGAATTAAATAAATTATCAATTTGACTCATTCTCCCACATTGGTTGGGGAATGAAATCCAAGGGTTCATTTCCCTATAAATACCAAGGCTTTGGCATTTGGGAAAGAACACACTTGAGTGGAACTATATAGGCATCTCCATTGTTGAGAATACCTTAAGTTCGTAAAACTCCAAAGTTTATATTTTGTCCGGGTCCCGACTAACCTTCGGGGCTTAGGACGATCTGGTCGGGTTCGAGGGTACGAACAGTCGGAGGCCTTGCATTTGCGAGGTTGAAGTAAGAGCTCTATTAGCGAGCGAAGCACGTGTCTAGGGTATAATTCTTTATCCCTTCTTCTT